AAACATTTTAAGTAAACTCTTTGGGTCATTATAAACATTCTTTCTATCGACAAAGATGTTGTAACTATAAGGTAGTTATATTCACCAGGATAAACCAGGTTATGCTGTTACAATTAACAATCCATAAAGCTTCATGATTTTATGTGATAAGGACATCTTTCTTGTACATATCTCAGGCTCTGTGGAGGTAGCAGGGGGCTCTCCTCTGTGTTGGACTGACTTAGCAACTAGATCTCAACAACAGGAATGTGCTGGTCATAAAGAGGAGAGGAGGAAAAGGGAAAGAAGGGGAGGGGAGGGGAGTGTGAAGAGGGGAAGGGGGAAGGGAAGGAATAGGGGAGAGGGAAGGGAGAGTGGAGGAGGGGAAGAGAGGGAAGAAGAAGAGAGTGGGGATTAGCGCAGGAGAGGGGAGGGGAGGGAAAGACAGAGCTGAAGAATCTTAGGTCTACCCATGCTTTTGTTCTATTCATTCATTCCTATCTTTCTTCCTGTCATCCAATTGATCAATTGTAAAAGAGCAGACCCTGAGGTTCCAGTTTCCTTCAAGGGTCTCTAGGACATGCGTCTTTTAAAAAAGATCTTAAGGTCATAGTCCCTTTCAGGGAGATTAATAATGCATATTGGTACAATAAGTGCTGAGAGAAAAGGTGCAGTTAGGCCACTGCTGTGGCCGGAACACTTGTACTCCTCATAAGAAAAGCCACATTTCCAAATGACAATTCTCAAGGTGTATGCTTAGGAGAAGCCTTGGGAGGGGTGAGACCACAAGGACAAAGCTCTTGTTCTTAGTAGAGACCCCAGAGAGCTGGTGTGCCCGTTCTGTTGTGTGGGGGCCCAGTGGGAAATCATTCATCCACAGCCCAGAAGAGGGACTTCCCCAATCTGACCATGCTGCTACCTGGGCCTTGTTGTTCTCAGCTTCCAGAACGACACGAAATACATTTCTATGTTTATGAACTTTCCAGCCGCTGGCGTTTTGTCACTGCAGTCTCTAGGGACTAGGGGACGTGAAAAGACAAATGCTACCAGGTGTGGAGATGCGTGTCTTTGATCCTCACACTTGGGAGGTAGAGGCAAGCAGGTTTCTCTGAGTTTGAGGCTGGGCTGGTCTACAAAGAGAGTGCCAAGACAGTTATGACTGTTTACAAAGAGGAAAAAGAATCCCTGTCTTGAAAAACAAAACAAACGACAACAAGGCAAACCAACATCAAAAGAGAGAAACGCAGAGTGAATCGAAGCACCTGCTGAAAGAGTCAACCAACAAGCAAAAAGGATTAAATGCTCCAGGAACATGATAAATAGCCAACTGACTGGTCACAAAATGGGAGATGTTTACTTCGGTGGTCCTCTCTAATCAAACCCCAAAGTACGTGGAAGGAGTGATAGTTGGACTGAAGTGAAGAATCTTGAAGGCCAAGCTGTTTAGACTAATGTTACGTAGATAATAATAAATCACAAAGATTTATAAATAACAAAAAGAGTTTGTTGATTTTATGTGTTTATTCGTAAAGGAATCATTTTATTAATTTATTCTAACATATTTATAAACTATTCTTTGATAATTTCACACATATACACAATATAGCTAAATCATATTGATCCCCTACTCCTCCTTCAACTTACAGAATCCTAACTCCATCCCACTCCCAGCTTTATGTCTCTTTTTTAAACAACTTACCAACTTACCAAGTTCTGCCCATGTCCACCTGGGCATGGGGCCCATGTGCACCTTAGTGTGGGGCCCATGTACACCTGGGTGTGGGGTTCATATACACCTGGGCATAAGGTCCATGTGCACCTGTGTGTGGGGCCCATGAGCACCTGGGCGTGGGGTCCATATACACCTGGGCGTGGGGCCCATGTGCACCTGGGTGTGGGGCCCCTGTGCACCTGGGTGTGGAGTTCATGTACACCTGGGTGTGGGGCCCATGTACACCTGGGTGTGGGGCCCATGTACACCTGGGTGTGGGGCCCATGTACACCTGGGTGTGGGGCCCATGTGCACCTGGGTGTGGGACCATTACAGGAGCATGATCATTCTAGCAGGGACCACACCATCAGTTGATACTATGTCCATTTAGCAAAATAGCAGTACATTCACCTCTAGGGCCTATGAGCACCACAGGCAGGGGCTCTTGTTCAGATTTATAGTACCCGCTGTGAACCTCTTCCTGCCAAGCAGACTCAAACCCAGTCAGAAAAGTGCTTGGTTGCCCACACAGCATCCATGCCACCATGGCACCCACGTGCATCTCTTAGCAGGTTGGCCACTACAGCTAGCAAGATTCACAGCTCAGAGAGACAGTTGCTGACTTTTCTCCCCTAGCAGGCTGCATAGCAATTTCCAGTTCCATGAGAATTAGCCAGCAGGGAGGAAGTTTCCAGGTTCTGCTAGCTTGATTTGTCCAAGTCCTGGGACTAATGTGTGTGTATCTTCAATAATATGTTACTGTCAAGTTCTGGTAGGCAACCAAAAGCAGTGGCAGCAGCCTGTATTATCTCGGGGGGTCTCTGGAGCTCCCCTTGACTGAAACCTTTAGTGGAGGGGCCCAGACCTCTCACTGGGCTTTTTCTTTGTCGACCTGTGGTCTCTAAGAGGAACAGCATCCTCCATGTTAGGGTAACTACAATTAAAGTTTTCCTATATTTCATCAACTTAAAAAATAGTAGGTTTCCATGGCTTTTTGTCAGACATCCTTAGTGTTAGTTCCTCTTCCGACCCTCTAATCCCCCCTCTCCACTTAAGCATCCCCTCCCCATCTCACTTGTATTCTACAATCTCTCCTACCTGAAAATCTCCCTCCCTTCGATGGTGAAGAATTTTTCTGGAGCAACATATCAGATAATTCCAGCGAGGCTTAGAACTTCAAGTTCAGGAGAGTCCTTAAACAATCCAACCTGAACCTCTCAACGTACAGATGGGAAGAATAAAGCAGCCAAGAGTGAGTGAACACACTGGGGGCTCGCATTGCTGTCCTGGGCTTTGTCAGTCTGTCCATGGCCAGGATGGCTAGTTTGTGTCCATTTAGCCCCAGACAGAATTCAGATCTTGGTGTCCTCTCATGCACACCACAAAGTAGGGTGACCCCTGGAAAGACCCTAAGAACTGAAGGAAAAATGGAGGCCGAGAGAGAATACTTAGAATGCAGTGGAGTAGCGGTGGTTAACTGCGGTTTCCATTAGTTTCCCAGAGTGCGTTTATATTTGGGTTAGGTGGCTGTTCTGCCTTGTTTTCTGTTGCTGTGATAGAATATTCTAACCAAGAGCAACTTGGGAAGCAAAGGGGGTGATTTCAGCTCACATTTCGACTTCCTAGTCTGCCACTGAGGGAAGTCAGTGCAGAAAATCAAAGTAGAAGCCAGAGGAGAAGCTGGGCGGGGGGGGGGGGGGGGCACTGCTCACCAGCTTGTTCCCCGGCTCACTCCCAGGCTCACACTTAGCTAGCTGTCTTCTCGAAACCAGGACTACCTGTGTAGGGATGGTAACACTTACCATGGCTTGAACACTTCCACCTCAATCAAAAACCAAGATATTAATTTAAGAATGTCCAAAGAAGATGGAGCCAGTGAGATGCTTCAGTAGGTAAGGTACTTACAGACTGAAAATGAAGGACTGGACCCAAATTTGGTCTCCAGAAGCCACATAAAGATGGAAGGAGAGGACTGACTCCATGGAGTTGTCCTTTGACCTCCATATATGTACTGTGGCATATGTGCCTGTTCACAGATGTCATACACACACACACACACACACACACACACACACTCACACACGCGCGCGCGTGCGCGCAACAGCAATGCTAAAACTATAAAATCTTAAAAAGAGAAATGCATAAAACATTCATTCTGTGGCCATGTGTATTTCAGAGCTACTTCAAGGCACTCTTCTACTCTATCTTGATGGGCTGTTTCAAAAATCAGTGATAACTCTTTTTCTTTTAACTTAAAAGCACTTGTATTTCTGATAAGGTCTGTTTGAACCTTGGTATTAGAGTAGTAAGAACAAGTTTATCACATCTCAAGGCATCATCCCACTAACGCAGAAACATTGTTAGTCCTTTACTAAAGTCTTTGGTTTAGCAAGTCTTCACAGACAGTCTCAAGGATAAAAACTGGAACTGAGATGCTCCATCTCAGAAGGCTGTGGGCACACAGCTTAAATGAAGGCCTCAGCTGGCTTACCAAAAGAGGTATTTCATTGCTTAGCTGTCTGGGACTACAAAGTTGGCTTTATGATAATAGAAATGTATGCTGAGAGAGGCATATCCAGCCCATAGGTTAAGGACATCAAGGAACAGTCTAGCTATAGAAATTCTGAGTTCTGCAGATAAACTATCTTTCCTAGTCTATGCTGATGCTGAGGTAAGACGGCAGTGAGGAAATTGAGAACGGCTAACGTGTAAAGAGGTCACACATTAGCTCATCACCTCTGTGAGGCAGTGACATTGCCATCAGCATTTATTTTTTCTTAAAAAAAAGGGGCACTTAAATGATTTTCTTTAAACTTTAGATCTGGTGAGAAGAAAGCCAGGAATCAAACCCAGGGTATGACAGACTGCATCACCGTGTGATTTCCCACTGCATTGCCATAGAAACCACATTCACTCTCCCAAAGCCTTCATCAGATGTCAACTCCCGTGCTAGAGGGACACCACTATTGACTTTCGGAGTTTAAAGTTTGCTCTTTGTCAGTCAGTAAATGAAAGTGGGCCCTGAAACTTATACCTTCCTGCTTCTCAACGCCTGGTATTTCCACAGCAACTCCCAAGAAGATGCAGCAATACCAAGTGAGGTGTTTGGATGACTGAGTACCCAGCAATAACCATAAAAGCACATCGCTAGCCCTCCATACTGTCACCTCCGTGCTTAGTAAATACTGTTAAATAAGGTCTGAGCAATCCAGCATCCAGGGGCTTAGTATAAATGGCCCAAGAGGGTGAGGTAACTTCAAACATTCACTGGGTGCTGCCGACTGCATTGATTGTTATGCTCTCTGGCAGCATGAAGGGCCCCACTCTAGCTCTGTTCCTCTTCTCCATCCTGTTGACTGCTGTGCAGGTGCGAAGCGGGGAGACTGTGAAGCTCTGCGGCCTCGACTACGTGAGAACTGTCGTCTACATCTGTGCCAGCTCTCGGTGGAGGAGGCACCTGGAGGAGGTACCCCAAACTGAGCAAGGTAATTGAGCTCACATCTCCCCCCACCAGATCTCTCTTTTTACACCCTTTCCCCAGCTATTTTAGTAGCTATTTCTCTAAGAAATACTGATCTACTTGTATATCAATGTATGTGGTTTCTCATCAAAATACACCTCTGAATTCGGCCTGGGAAAAGGTAAACACGCTACGGTTTAGAAAGTATTGCACTGCAAGCTTTTAGTCTTCTGCTTGCAATAATTTCATTGCATGGAACTTCAGCAAGTGTAGCTTCCATGAACCGAGCAGGGAAGGCTACAGAGAGGCCAGACAGATATCTGCACACAGAGGATGACGGAGCGCGGTAAGCTGGAGTTCAGGTAAGCGGAAAGGATGGAGCCCGCTCAACAGAGCACTTGTAAAGTACCAGGCGGTTTCAGGGGCAACATTCGCTCAGCTTCCCTATGAGAATCGTAAGAAGTAATGCTGCTCCTGTTTATCGTTTATCAATAAGGAAACTGTCCAGCCACTCGGCCGCGGGACCAGATAGCAAGCCAGGTCTTCCGTGTGCTTCAAGAGCCCAAGTCATCGCCATTACATACGGTGCCCCAAGTGACCAGGAGGCTTCAATGGTTACTTACATCATGGAGAAGGAGGAAGGGCCTCTGTCAAGTTTGAGAAGTGGCAGGGGGTGGGGAGCTGGGGGGATTGTGAGCAAGAGGAAATGTGTGGTCAGAATTCCCAGAGTGCCCGTCAGTCTGCTCTCCCAGCAGTGATGTGTGGGCTTCACCGAACTTTGGTTTTCCATTCAAATAACTTAGGAGATTGACTGGAATTCTTTCTGCTAATCTTGTAATGAATTATGAGGTAAAAGGCTGGAGACATGACTCAGTGTTCCATGTCAGGCAACTCACAACTGTGGCTCCTTGTCCACGACTGGGCACCAGCATTCATGTACACACACACACACACACACACACACACACACACACACACACACACACCACACTTACACACAAAATTAGAAATAATAAAAATTTAAAACCATAGGGTAAAATTTCCTTAAGGGTCTACTCTTCTATATTTTTAAATCGACAAAAATGGATTTATCATGTATATACCATGTTGATGCTGCACCAAGACTAGATCAGGCTAATTTGCACACACATTACCTACACTTCTGTGTGTGTGTGTGGTGAGAACACTGAAGATGTGTGCTCTTCGAAACTTCAGGAACGCTCATGTTCCATTGATCACAGCGGCCACATTGTGTCGGCGGTCTCTTGAACTTATTCTTCCTGGCTACGTGGAACTCTGCATTCCTTGGCTCCCCTCTTTCTGTCCCCGGACACCAAAGTCATCCTCAGACAGCCACTATTCTATTACTCCTCTGGCCTCGGCTTTCCAGATCTCTCTTATAAGTGAGACCATTGCTTGAATAATGGGTTTCATTGCTTTTGTTTCCTAATAAAGCCATCGGGAATTAATGACATGTAAAGGCTGAAGCCACAAGGATGGTGCTAAAGACTCCAGCTTGCCTTAAAATGACTGTGCTAAACAAGAAGCCTTTAGTGAAGGACTAACAATAGCGAATATTGTTAAATACATAGTGAAACATTAACAAATATTCCTGTTTATTGGGATGATTCCTCAAGATGTGATAAACTTGTTCTTACCACTTTAATACCAAGGTTCAGACAGACCGGATCAGAAATATGTGTTTTTAAACTTTATAGAGAAGGAGCTATCACTGACTTTTGAAGCAGCACATCAAGATATAGTAGATATAGTATAAAAATGTTTTAAAGTGGCTCTGAAATACACAGGGCCGTGGAATGAATATTTTATACGTTTCTCTTTTCTAGATTTTATTTTTTAGTATTGTTATGTGAGTGCATGTGTCTGTGTGTATCTATGACATCTGTGAACAGGCACATATACCACAGTACATATATGGTGGTCAGAGGACAACTTTGTAGAATCAGTTTTGTCCTTTTATCTATATGTGGATGCTGGGGATCAAATTTGGGTCCAGGCCTTCAGTGTTGGGCTGCAAGCACCCTTACCCACTCAAGCATCTCACTGAAGCATCTCACTCATCTTTGGAAGTCACTGAAATCATAGCACTCAAACCTTCCACAGGTCTCCATCGTGTTTCCCTCACACTAGTTATCTGATCAATTTCTAGTTGGCCAACGAACATTCACTCATGTGGTTTTCGTTCAGTGCCTCCCAGTGTTGCTCCATTGAGTCTGAACTAGATTAAAAGCCAGAGGGACTTGAGGACAGACATTGGGAACAACATTTAGATTTAACAATGCCCATGTTTCACTATCAGATATGGAGTGGAAATCCCATTGATCAGCCCTGCAAGGCTTACCCAGGGTTTTTGTTACTGTTGTTGTTCCGCTCCTAGCTAATTAATGACATCTCCTCTGGCTAGTTAGATAGCTTATTGTTAATTATAACTAGTATCTTTGGAAACTGCTGGTCATGGAGCAGAGGTGGCTGGCAGCAGTTACTGCTAACCAACTGACACTGATGCCTATCAACCTCTGTAAAATAAAGAGCATTCACAAGCCAGCTCTTTCTGAAGTGCAGGTCTTCAGTGCTTTAATTGTCAGGATTCTTTAAGGTAGTATGGTGCCTTTCTTTTCTTATAGCTGAGCTAAGAAGCCACTTCCAGCTCCCAGACAGACAGGAGACATCCAAGGAAACTCTTGAGCACAACCTTCCCAAGATGGATTTCTCAGGCCAGGAGCTTGTTCAAGATCCACAGGCGCCCGTGGAAAGGCTTTGGCAGTTGAAGAAGTACTCGGTGATGTCCAAACGAGATCTGCAAGCTCTATGCTGCACGGAAGGCTGCTCCATGACCGAGCTCAGTACACTTTGTTAGGAAATGCCCATACCCACGGACGAGCTTCAGCATGTATCTAGTTGGCATCCTACCACTGAGTCCCAGTTTCTATCAATACAGCCATGGTTTAGGGGGTAGATAATCCTTTTCTAAAAGGTCTGTCTATTATGGCTTAAAGCCAAGAGATATCTCTCTTCTCCCTTTGCCAAAGTCAATCCACTCTTCTTTCTGAGTTCTAATTTCTGCTTTGAAATTTCCAGTGCTTTGCAAGCCTGCAATAAAATGCATGAATTAAAATTCACTGTGATGCCTTTCCCTTCCAAGATTGTGATAGCCACACACCCTGCCCATCAACACCTGAGGCAGCTGGGAGAGCTGACCCCAAGGTCATAAGGGCAGGAGTGGCTCCTGCCCACCACCAACAGCTGCAGCACTTGGGAGGGCAGACCCTGCACCTCACCTGGGCAGCACAACAGAGTCAACTCCAGTTGGTGGAGGTGTGGGGGAGCCAGCCCTGAAGCTGTGAACATAGGAGATCCGTCCCATTACTCATCTGTCCTGTGGTGGCATGGATGGGGAAGAGATGCCCTCCTCACTCTGCCCATCAAAGCCTGAGGCAGGTGGGAGAGCTGACTCTGTCCCTCATCAGCTGCAGCACTCCGCAGAGTGGCCCCGGTGCCATGCCTGGGCAACAGAGTAGAGCTTGCCTCCTCAGTCACCAGGCAAGCATGCACCGCACAGACATACACGAAGGAAGAACATATGTACACACAAACAGATCTTTCAAACCAAATGAAAGTAAAAGCCATGTGCCACTAAAATTAATGGTGATGCTCCCTTGCAATCTTACCTTCTTTAGCATCTGAGCCATGAAGGCCCAGGAACTGGAGTTACAAATGGTTGTTAACCACCATGTGGATTCTGGGAAACAGACTGCTGAGCCATCTGTCCAGCCCCAATCTAGCCAGCTCTTACTAAAGGGGATCCAAAGCCTTGCCTTCCAGTGATGGGTAAGATGGGTGATACATTTTGCTGTCTCCTAGGTAGAAACTATGCGTCTCATAAGCATGGGTGAAGCCGTGGAAGATTGATCATCCTTCTGAAGCTCCTCCCAGAGATTTCTGGGATCACAGCTCTTAGTGGTATCTGTGGCAGGAAAGCAGAGCAGAGAGCAGGGCTGAAGATGATCACATGAAAGAGATGAATGATCAGGAAAAAAAGGGTGTCTGAGCAATGTTCTCCTTGTAGCCTAGGCTACCTTTATTTTGCCCCTGTCTTGCAGAGATAAAAGCACTTTCCATTCTTACCCTAGCACTTGAGAAATCAAGTCCTAGCTGGTGAAGCCACTGTTACGCAATTGGCTCTCTTCCTAGATAAAAGGAGAAAGTGGGGCTACCCCCAAAACGTTTTCATCTCTCACGCTGGTTGCCGACTCTGCTGGGTTGTAATAATGGAATCAGTTCAGCCTAATGCTGCTCTTATTGATACTGCCTGTGAATGGTGTGAGCTACCTGTTGGGCGTTCGCTGTGTGTGGTCCTGAAACATGACCCTCACACATCAGCTGCAGGTAACCTGTAAGGAGCGGATGGTACTCCATTGTCATCGTTCACACGAGACATGTGTCTAAATCTGCACAGCTAGGTGGGTGGACGGTGTTTCCAGACATGCAGCAAACTGCTTAGTGTGGATCAAGGCAACTGTCTCACCAAGCTTGCTAATGTTCAAAATTCCTATTACCATTAGGCAGTCCTAGCTTTTTCAAAGGCAGTTTTACAAGGTAGTAAGTTAGGTATCAGCAGGTAAGGAGACTTTTGGAGATGGTGACTTTCCTCTTGACAAGAAGCTTGTAAAACCAAAATGAAATTTCAATAGTCTGTTAATTGATCAAAAGAATGGGATCTGAATCATAGTTCCCATCCTTGTTGGAGATGTCAATCTGAACCATCTGGAGGAACTTTCACTGAGACCTTCCTAAATCTTTGAAGCATATGATCGAGGGACTGGAGAGACAGGTCAGTGGTTAAGAATACTTGTAACATGAGGGGCCTGCTTGTTGGGGTTTCTGTCCCGCCCAGTACCCCACAACCGGTAAACCCCAAAGAAAAATCACACACAGGACTCCATAAGATTATAAACTGATTGGCCCATTAGGTCAGGCTTCTTGTTAACTCTTATAACTTATGTTACCCCATTATCCTTATCTACATTAGCCACATGACTCCGTACCTTTCTCAGCTGGGCAAGTTACATGCTGCCTCTTCAGTGGTCTGCGCAGGAGTCCTGGAGGGAGCTTCCTGCTTCCCAGAATACTCCCAGTCTCTTTGCTCCACCCCTACTTCCTGTCTGGCTTTCCTGCCTATACTGCCTGCCTGGCCAATCAGCGTTTTATTAAAATATGACTGACAGAATACAGAAAATTCTCCCGCATCAAATACTGGATGTCAAGAGTGCTTGCTTCGATAGCACATGTACTAAAATTGGAAACGATACAGAGAAGATTAACATGGCCCCTGCACACAAATGACACACAAATTCGTGAAGTGCTCCCTATTTTTTGATCCTAGAGAAGCTAAATAAGAAGGTGAACCCAAAGAAAAACATATATTTATCCTCCTGAATATTGAAAGTAGACAAGATCATTGGGCAAAAGTTGGGAGCATGGGGTGGGTGGGAAGGGTTGGGGGGAAGGGGAGATGAGATGGGGAGAGTGAAAGGAGAGGGGGAAGTTTGGGGAGAGCTTGGGGAAATGGGATGGTTGGGATGGAAGAAGGGTGGATATGGAAGAAGGGAAGAAGATATCTTAACTAAGGGAGCTATTTTAGGGTTGGCAAGAGACTTGGCTCTAGAGAGGTTCCCAGGTGTCCGGGGAATTTCCTCAGCTAGGTCCTTGGGCAGCTGAGGAGAAGGTGCCTGAACTGGCCTTCTCCCATAGCCACACTGATGAATATCTTGCATATCACCATAGAACCTTCATCTGGTGATGGATGGAGATAGAGACAGAGACCCACATTGGAGCACTGGACTGAGCTCCCAACGCCCAGATGAAGAGCAGAAGGAGGCAGAACATGAGCAAGGAAGTCAGGACCGCGAGGGGTGCATCTGCCCACTAAGACGGTGGGACTGATCTAATGGGAGCTCACCAAGGCCAGCTGGACTGGGACTGATGGGGCATGTGATCAAACTGAACTCTCTGAATGTCACTGACAATGAGGGTGAACTGAGAAGCCAATGATAATGACACCGGGTTTTGATTCTACTGCATGTACTAGCTTTTTGGGAGCCTAGTCTGTTTGGATGCATACCTTCCTAGACCTGGATGGAGCGGAGAGGGCCTTGGATTTCCCACAGGGCAGTGCACCCTGACTTCTCTTAGGACTGGAGAGGGAGGGGGAGGAGAAGTGGGGGCAGTGGGAGAGAAATGGGGGGATGGGAGGAGGCAGAAATTTTTAATAAATTAAAAAAAAGAAAAAAAATGAATACTGACTGTTCTTCAAGAGGTCCTAGATTCAATTCCTGCACCCACATGGCAGCTCACAACCATCTGTAACTCCAGTTCTATGGGATCCAATGCTCTCTTCTGGCCTCTGTGGGCATCAGGCATGTGCATGATACACAGACATACATGCAGGCTGACACTTAGGCACATTAAATAAAAGCAAATCTCAAGAATATAGTCTACAAGGTGTTTCCTTAAAGAATATGAATACAGTTATCATTTCAAAAGAAAGCGAATCCAAACAACCCTGTCAATCACCTGGATAGGCAAAGTCCCTAAGGAGAAGTTGCTTTGGCTAGAGGCTTTATAAGCAGTATAAAGCCTTCCTGAAATATAAGTCAGACTGATTTACTCTATCAGGCATAAATTTCCTCCTCTGAAGTGGGCCTTAAATCTCCTCAGAAAGCTGTTAGTTACTTCCATTACACAGCTTGCCAGTCAGCCATTATTATAGGCCACAGAAGCCTTAGCTGGGTAAGACTATTGATTAATCTCCCCCTCCCCCACACCCAGCACCTTCTGGGGCCCTGAAAGCTGAGACCAGAGAGCATGCTGTCTTTGGCAATAGAGCCTTACTCTTCAGTTTGGGTGGGTCACTGTATTAGTTGCTTTTCTACTGTTGCGATTAAAAAAAGATAAATAAAACCCATGACAAAGGCATCTTAAAGAAGAGAGCATTTCCTTGGGCCTCTGCTTCCAGAGAGCTAAGAGGCCTACGGCACACATCGCGGCAGTAGATGGCAGTCACGATGGCAGAAACAGCTCTGAGCTCACTTCTTGAGCCCCAAACAGAAAGCTGAGAGCGAACTGGGAACAATGTCAGGTTTCTGATGCCTCAAAGCCCATTCCTAGTAACATACCCTCCTCCAGCCGCGCTGCCCCTTCCAAACAGCACTACCTGGGACCAAGGGTTCAAACGCCCAAGACTAGGGGAGACATCTCATTCAGAACCCTACAGCAACTAACATCAATGGCTACAGTCCCTATTGTTTTGGGTGGTCTCTGGGACAGTCCCCCACCCCAAGCAGCAACTCAAAGGAAATAGCCTACACCTGACACTGGGCTTTTTATTTGGAACCTATAGCTTCTGAGAGGAGCATTTTCTCCTGTGTAGGGTGAATCGAACTTGATATATATTTAAAACACATATGCACACGCACAAACACACACGTATTAAGGAAGCTAATAAAACATTTCTATACATCTTTTCAAAAGTACTCACTGTTAGTTATTCCTCTCTCTACCCATTATTCTATCTGGCCAAGAACTGGTGGCAAGGGTGCGCATAGGCTGTAGAGGTGAACCTACCACCATTATCTTGCTAAATGGACATACAGTCAAGCAATCTTCTAAGTATCTACATACACATAGGAAAATGCTGCTCATAGTACTTACCAGAGGAGCATCTTTGAGCACTGGGTGGCGGCTACCTCAGACACAATGGTAAACATGCACAGAGTAAGCCCTCAGAGTTCTCCGCTATCTAAATCCTATCCCCTCTCTCCCAGGCTCAGAAACACCACTGTGGAAGACTATAAACGCTAAAGGAGCAAAACAGTGTTTTCTGGACGTGTCAGAACCATTGCATTCACAGAACCTTGTACAAAACCAAGCCAGGGGCTGGAGAGATGGCTCAGTGGTTAAGAGCATTGCCTGCTCTTCCAAAGGTCCTGAGTTCAATTCCCAGCAACCACATGGTGGCTCACAACCATCTGTAATGAGGTCTGGTGCCCTCTTCTGGCCTTCAGGCATACACCCAGAAGGAATATTGTATACACAATAAATAAATAAATATTAAAAAAAACAAGCCAGCCAGCGTTCCAGCATGGATGGGGGAAGGGACTTGGGAGGCTCCATCCCTAGCTGAGAAGCTACTGATAGTTGAGGGATGTTAGGGGAGGGACAATCCATTTTCTTTATGGCAGTGGTCTCTGAAGGGTTGACCATGCTCCCGTGGAGGCCTGCATACTCATGTGCATACGGACGGTGCATTAGATTCAGCGGGTTATTAAAAAAAAAGAGGAACAAGGACGTGAAGTTAGAAAGGAGCACATGATGGGAGGGGCGGAGTCCAGGAGGAGCTCAAGTAGGAAGTGGTAGAGGGTGAATGAGATCAAAGTATAAATAAAAATAATGCATTTTTAAAACTAAATTTAGGTGTTACAGAATATTTAACTGTGCAAAGATGTGTGCATTTGTCTAGTTGTGTAAAGATGCGTTGCTGTATTACTTCGCCTACTTAAGGCACCTGATTGGTCTACTAAAAATCTGAATGACCAATAGCAAGGGAGGTGGTATAGGTGGGACTTCCAGGCAGGGAGAGTAAGTAGGAGGAGGAATTTAGGCTTGAAATGAAGAAAGTAAGGGAGATGACAGCGAGATGCCAGGGACCAGGCAGCCAGACATGGAGGAAGCAGCAAAGGAGGACACACAGAATGAAAGAAAGGTAAAAAGCCCTTTCGACGTGAATGAATAGAAACAGGTGAAATGAAGCTAGAAGAGCCAGTGAGACAAGACCATCCCTAATAAGTCCGAACATCCATAATAAGTCTCCATGTTTTTACTCGGTTGGAGGCCCAAAGAAAATTCCAACCACATACAGGCCTGCACAGTTGCATCCTGTCTGGAGAGAAGATATTTTAAAGAGCAATTATCTGTTCCCACCCTGGCTAGCAGAGGCTTGAAACAATGGATGCCAAAGAATTACCATCTCTCCCCGAAGGTTTGCTGAAGGAAGGGTTTGTCTCTCGTCCATTGTCGGAGGGGACGCTGTCCTCCTAGGAAGGCAGCACAGTTTTGACAGATCAAGGCTCAGCTGATTGGCCAGCCTGCTTCATATGCATCCCTCTATTCCTCCCTTTTAACACTGAACCTTAAGTACCCCCAGATGGACTTGGGGGTCGCTGGATGCCTCCATTTGTCCTCTTCCCAACGTGGCCACACCGAGCACATCTCCTTACCCTGTTTTTACAGTCACTTGTCTCTTTAATTGGTATATTGGATATTGGGAGTGGGGGGAGGTCGAGCCCAGCCCTTGGGGGCTGTCCAAGCATATGCTTTGACCCTGACCACATTGGGAACATGGTAATACCTTTAGAAAGAATTATTCTCCCTCTCCTAGAAACTATTAATTGCCAATATTACTGCCCACATACCGTGTTCATGCAGTCCTTTTGTTTGGTTTGAGCTTTTGAAGTCTTGGGCACGGTCTGTCAAGTGCTGTGAGTTCACACATGCATCTGCCTTGCTGTGTCCTGAGAGCTCTCTTTCCTTACAGTCATTTACTCCTCTGCCTTGGGCCCTCTTTCCACCCCTTCTTCTACAACGACCCCCGAGCCATAGGAGGAGATGTGATTGTCAGGAGCCACTGTCACCTTTATGGGGTGACATTCCAGGATAGGGGCGTGAGGATTAGAAGGGTTAGGTAGGAGGAACAGAGATAAGAAAGGATCACAGAAACAGGCTAGGATCGGGAGGACCACTCAGTCTCCTGCTTTCTGAGTTCTCCCATGTTTAATTTGTCATACATTTTTATACTCCAGTACAAAAGGGGTGGGGAGGTAGAAGATGCTTTAACATGATATAAGGGACAACTAGAACAGTTATTTGCCTCAATACTTTGAGACTTCAATCCATTAATTCATGACAAAAACATTCTGTTGTTTAGGCAGTGAACCCACCCTAAGATCTAGTATCCTGAAGACAGCCTCTCCCTAGGTCAAACTTCCTAATTCAAAAGAAGGAACAGAAGTGTGCTTGAATTCTCTGACCTTTGGTCAAGGTGGAGAGGATACACCTCTATGGGACATTTTAGTGTCTAAAGCACCAAATCACCATACCCTAGGTCACGATGTGCAGTCAGGGTTGTTGTCTACAACTATGAGCAAGCTCAAACTCTATAACCTTCAGAAAGGCTGAATTGGCTCACATTTTTGGGCCTCCAAATATGACATAGATGTTCCATTAATGACGGAGCATTTCAAAGTCTGTCATTCTCCGCACCTTGACCAGTTGTGCGTCTCTGTAATAACTGTCATCTACTGCACAAGTTTCTTTGGT